CTCCAGCCCCTCAGTGTCCTCTTGTTTTGAGGGACCCAGAACTGGGCACAGGATTTGTGGTGTGGCCTCATCAGGGCCAGCACAGGGGGACAGTCCCTGCCCTGGTCCTGCTGCCACACTATTTGTGACACAGCCCATTTGTGACACATTGGCCTTTTTGCCCATCTGGGCACCCTCTGGCTTCATCCTGAACCAGAGTCAGAAACCTTCAGGCTCCCCTTTCTCCTATTTGAGGCACTTCTTGGGCTGCTGCCAGGATTTGGGTAGTAGAGAGCCATAACCTGGGCAGGATTGAGCATCCACCCACCCCACTGCAGATGGGTCCAGAGACTGAGAAACCTTGGAGAACCACAGCAAGGCTGTTCTGCCAACTGCTGCCCTCACCCAGACAGATCTGACGATCTGCAAGGAGTAAAATAATTAGATTGTCTTTTTTTGGTGTCCCAGTCCAAGCAGCAAAGGGCTCACTCTCATTTCTCTTCCTCGTGCCAGCAATGCTTGTCTTCATTTCATCAGAGAAAGAGCTGCCAAACTCCTTCATTTGGGATAGGACAGAAAAAAATTAAAAAGAGGAGGAAAAAAAAAAAAGAAAAAGAAAAAAGTGTTTCTGAAAGGCAGGAAATGAAAATAAATGAATTCTTCACCATTATTTAAAATCTCTTTAAAGCCTGAGAGTAAAGCAATCCCTTTTGAGCTGGATTGGCCGTGCTTGCCTCCAGCACACATTTTACAATGAAATTCTCAAGGACTGCTTTCAGGTACGTAGGGAAAGAGCAGAGATTTATTCTTAGGAATGCTTTATTTTTATGTGCCTTTGATATGGAGAAGCTGCACTTTCATTCAAAGAACCGAACAGGAAAGAAATGCAAATATTCCAGTCGCTCTCCTGGAACATCTGGGAGGTGCAAGGTTTGTAATACAGCTTTCTGCCTGTTTGCTGCAAAAGGCAAATCTAGGAAAAAGAAATCTGGGAAAGTTTCTGCCACTATTAATCACTTTATAAGTAGAAGCTTTCTCTGGGTTTGCAGGTGAAACCTTTCACATCCTGAGGGTCCTGAGCAGGTCTCTCCATATCCCAGTGACCAGACACGTTCCACTTAACCTCCTTTGGGAATATAAATCCCCAGATCACTTAATTCAATTTGTTCCTACCACTGAGCAGCTTCCAGTGAGCCATTTGCATTTCCAGGGGTGGATGTTGGAAACTGGCTTTACAGCATCCCTCCCTGATTTCTTGGGTTGGAAAGCAGGCTCTGGGCATGGCTTGGGTCAGGAAAACCCCGGGAATGGTTGGCCTTGAGCCAACACATCCCACTGGAGGCTCCTGTGGCTGCACCCCAGACTTTATAAATATTGCTAAAATCCCTTTGATTTCCCTCCCAGTTGCAGCTCTCGGGCCAAAACCCTCCCCAGCAAAGCAGCAACTTGAGGATTTTGGACTGGATTTAGGAAGGAGATTTGCTGGAGTCTCACCCTGACCCTGGAGCAGCTCCTCTGGCTTTGCTCAGGGTTGCAAACCTGCTCAGGAGCAGATTTCCAGGAGTATCTTTGGGCAGCCTCCCCTTATGGCTTGTGTGTTGAACATGGTGGATGGTTGGACTTGATCTTGGAGATCTTTTCCAGCCTTAAGGATTCTGTGATTCTATTCCACGATTCTCTGGGATGGCAGCCTGGGAATCCTGGTCTGGGACAACAGCAGATCAACAAGACAACAGGTTGGGCTCAGCAAATGCAGGATAACTGAACACATCCCACATTCCAGGACATGAGGCTGGAGGTTGCCTGGAGATAAAAACCACAGGAATTCCATTCCCCTCCTTACCATGGTCTCAGAATCACCTCAGGTGTTACAGAGGTACCTCCAGCCAGAGCGAATGAAGATCTCCGACAATGCAGCTCCAGGGCAAAATTCAGACTTTTTTACAGTGATTTGTAATGAGTTTTCTGCTCCCTGCACAAGGACAGACTTTGGAATTGCTAAAAAAAAGCTGCTGGAGCTGTGACAGTTTTGCACAGGGGCTGAAAGTGTTGCTGAGGTGACTTTTGGTGCTCCCTGTCCCAAAACAACGATACTTTTCAGGCAGGGTGGGAAAAGCTTTCTCTAATCGCTTTAGACTTTGCAAAGCAATAAACTTGGCCCAAAAAACATGGAGCAGGGAGCTGGGGAGCTCAGCTGATTGTAATTCTTCCAGTGGAAACATTTTTCCTGCGAAAAATGCAGATTTGATTCCATTCCCTGTTGACAAAGGGCCTTTCAGCTGGAAATAATAGAAGGGCTCTGTTTGGTTAACGCTGCGAGGTTTTGTCCTGAATTTATGATTTCAGTTCTTATAATATTAAATAACAGGGTCATGAAATAGTGGGACTTCACTGCAGTGAAGCCTTTTCTGGAAAGCATTCCCGAGCTGGGATGATGGATGAGCTCGGGGTTGGTGACACTGCGAAGCCACGGGAAGGAAAGCAAACCAAAGGGTGGATTTGGTTCTGTGCTTTCCTCCCCTTTCATTCCACTGGAATATTTGAATTTAACCCTTTTGGTCCATCACAGAAGAGGCTGTGAACAGCCAAGCTGCCCAAAACCCAACGGAGCATGGGATTGGGATTTACCTCCCAGCAGAGCTCCAGCTCCGTGTCCCTCCTGCTGGATCCACCCCCAGCCTCATCCCTCCTCCTGCAGTGAGCTCCCACATCCACGTGTGTCATGGAGAGCTGGCAACCTTGGGGTTGATCTGCTCTTCAAAGCCATCTGTTTGATCTGATGGCAGCTCTGAGGCCGGCTGGGAACTCCCAGAGTAATTAATGGATGTTGATGGAGGGGCTGCAGGGTCCAGGTAATTAGGAGTGAGGAACAGTCCAGCTCTTCCTGGTTCCCCAGGGATTTGTGGACAGATGAAGATCACTTTGAGGTAAAAGTGTAGTGATCATCACCCTGATAAAATGAAGAGGTGCCCAATTTACTGTGCAACCAAAAGGGAAAATAAGGGAGGGAAAATGGCCCAAAGCAAAATTGAATTTTTTGCATCAGAGCTTGAGTTTCTGTGCATAAATAGCAGGCTCAGACCAATTCTGGTGGTGTTGAGAGCTTCCCAAAAGTTTTATTTCAAAATGGAGATAGCTCTGTGTTTTACCTCCTTTGGAGCCAGGATTGTTGCTCATCTTCCTGAGCCTCCAAACGGTGAAGGAGGAGAGCTGGAGAGGATGTGGTGAAGTCAGACTTGTTTTGCTGAGCTCCTGATCACAAGATATGCTCCCAGGGAAGCATTTCTGTGTTATAAATCACTTGGGCTCTTCAGGAGAAAAACTGTCTTTTTCCAGGATGGAGTAGTTTTTGGGATTTGGGGAGCAGAAAACGCACAGGAACGGGCAACTTTGGACTGGAAAGAGTGACATTATGGGCATGGTGAGGTCCTTCCAAGGGGAAGTCTCTCATCTTGGATGGTGATGTTGAAGAAACAAGCACTGGGAATTAATCCAAGGGCCACAGAAGCTGTGGCTGCCCCATGCCTGGAAGTGTCCAAGGCCAGGACGGGGTTTGGAGCAAGCTGGGCTAGTGGAAGGTGTCCCTGCCCATGGTGAGAAGGAGTTTTAAGGTCACTTCCAACCCAAATAATTCCAGGACTCTGTGAAGTCTGCTGAGGGGAAATGGATGAAGGGGATGCTGCAGTTGCTGCTCCCATCCCACCTGGAGGAGCTGGTGGAAGAGCAACATCTGCCTGCGGACCTGGAGCTGTGTGGGGGCATCTCCTAAGTCCTGAGCAGCCACTTCCAGGGTCTGAGGTGCTTCTCTGGTCCTTGTATATCTGTAGTAAGAACATTTTAAGTTGGGTTTCATGTGCCATTGTGCTAATTAAAGGCAGAGGGACTGGGAAAGCAATGGAACTCCAGGAACACTCACAGCAGGTACTGCCTGTCCTGCCTCGAGGGTCATTCTGTAATGGGAAGAAGGATGGTAACTTATCATCTCTGTCAGGACCAACTCTCTGGGTGTTTGAGTCTCTGCATCACCCTCTCAGGACGTTATTCTCCGTGTCAGGTACTCCCATTGGAATACTGGGCAGTAAATTTCCAACAGAGCCTAATTAAGCCACCCCTGGAGAGTCTGGGGAAGGAGCTCCACGTGGTGGGACAGGTTATATGTCCTAAGCAGTTACTGCCAGGCAAGACTGCAACTCACTGTAGTAGGAGATGCAGGAGGCCTGTTCTGGCAGTAAATCAGCCCAGGATGCAAATTCCATCTATTAAATTCCTTTTGATATATGGAACGTGAAGAAGAAGAGATGGGCACCATTATCTCCTCCACGTTGATCCGGAATCAAATCCCGCTCGTTCTCCCCAGGCAGGGGCCTGGGCTCATTATCTATTTATGGCCAGCAAACGTTTCACTTGGGTTGATAAATTGAGTATTGGTGGCAATAAAGTAAAGCAGCAGCTCCCCGACGTCACAGGTTTATGGCTGAGCTCAAAATCAAAGCTTTAGCAAGAAGTGTTGGGAAGGGAGACCGTTCTC